TGTCTGTGTGTGTCTGTCTGTCTGTGTCTGTGTGTGTGTGTGTGTGTGTGTGTGTGTGTGTGTGTGTCTGTCTGGTCTGTCTGTCTGTGTGTGTGTGGTGTCTGTGTGTCTCTGTCTGTCTGTCTGTGTCTGTGTGTGTGTGGTGTCTGTGTGTCTCTGTGTCTCTATCTGTCTGTGTGTAGCCCAAACTCAGGGTAAGTGAGCGCACACCGTCTTGATGAAAACACCTGCATGTCTCAGGCTTGCTGTGATGCGCTCGAGCTCTGCTAACATCCTGACCTTACAAACACGCGTCTGCTCCGCTAACGAGATCTAAATCTCACCTTACGGTAATATCGCGATATGACGTCCATGATACGATATTTATTGCGATATAAAAAAATAAAAAAAAGACGAAGAATTTGAAAAAATTAAACTTTCTGTTCATTTTAAAGTTAAGTTATTCTATCTAATGCACTTTGAGAGTTAAAAATTAAGAGCTTCAACCCATGTTCCTGACTAATGAACGAAGAGTGCGCTTCGCTTTGAAACACGCAATTCAGACGGGATCAGTTCAGCCGTGTGCCGCATGAGTTTGCTCTGTGCTTTGATGAGGATCTTGAGTAAGAACAGCAGCTGCAGGGACTGACCTCTGCTGAAGTGCATTATGGGTCTCAGCCTCGTTCAGGCTGTGGTTTAGTCCTAGACCAAATGCTTCTCTTTATTCTTCAGCATGATCTGATGCATGTTTATCTGCCTTCTCCTTTCATCTTAATGCTTCAGTAGCAGCAAAACAAACAGACCTGAGAGTCAGATGTGGTGCTTTTACGTTGCCTTCAGAAGGTGTACTGCCACTTTCTCTGCAGTTTGTCATGAAATGTTTCCAAACATCTTGTTTAGAGAAGAATGAAGAAAATGAGGAATATTTGTCCCAGTGTGCAAACATAGATTCAAGATTCACCCTCTATCCTGACAAAGAGAGATGGTTCACCCAAAAATAGACAACAAATCTAAGTTACTCCCCCTTTTATCATTAAAAACGAGAAGTGTTCGGTAGTGTTGGTGTTGAGATGGTTTGGAAAGTTAGGATGCTGTCTGGTGTGCGAACTCATGGATTCGCTTGTGATGAAGAATCTGAATCCCAGCTTGTTCTGGCGATGTTTCTCTGATTTGATGATGGAAGTGAAGTCTGGGTACTCCCTCTGCTGTTTCCTCACTGCACGCACTTCTTCTCCATACTCTGTCTGTATCATTCTGACATGTTTGGACCGTGAAGCGTGCTCTCTGCACATGCGTGCGTGCTCATGATGTGTGTGCTCATGATGTCTTGTTTGTGTTTCAGACATGAGTTGCTGGAGGAAGCCTGTCGACAGGGTCTGCCCTTCGCTCTCTGGGACGGTCCCAGGGTGGTGGTGTGGCTCGAGGTACAAATACTGGCTGAATTACACCTTTATATCACTGCTGCATCGTCTGGAAAACATTTCACATGCAACAGCAGACCATCGCAGCTGTGAAATGGCACGACATAACAGCTGCTCATTTATTTAATTAATTATGTATTTTTTTTATATATTCCCATAACAGCAACCTAGTTGTTCGGAATTTGCTTGGTGAGCTCATCAACTGTAATAATAACATACATTAAAATACATATGCATAAATGCATCTATACATATGTCGTATCAGTTACAAAGAGTGAAATGCAGAGGCATAGACACTAGAGGATTTAAGAGCATGCACAATCCTACAAAAAGTGCTGTTCAGAAAACGTGTGGACTTGGTTTTAATTGCTCTGCCTGAAGGAAGAGGTGTAAAGAGGTGTCTGGCTGAATGTAAGGGATCTTTCAGGATTGTTAGACCTTTTTTCTGCAAACGTGAGACATGGATCTCATCAATAGTGGGAAGATCACAACCAATAATTTTCGAGTTATATTACTAATCTGACTTCTCTGCTGAGCTGTGGAGCTACCAAACCACACTACAAGTGAGAAAGGCAGCACGCTTTCAATGACAGCTCTTTAGATACGCCAAACGTTTTAAGCTGTCTTAAGAAAAAAGCCTTTGATGTTTTTTTAGTGACGCCTCTTTGGTTGTCATTCCACTTTAACGTCGCAGAGATGGCAGTCCCGAGAAACTTAAAACATTGAACATTTTCAGTGTCCTGACCTTTAATAAACAATAGCAAGACAGCATTTGTCCGCCGTCGGAAATCAAACACCAGTTCCTTTGTTTTTAGGACATTTAACTTCAGACTATGAGTACAGCTCCATTCAAACAATGTAGAAACCTCCCTTCTGTAGTCCGATTGTGCATGCGCGTGTGAGTGTGTGCGTTTGTGTGTGAGTGCGCGTGTGAGTGTGTGCGTGCGTGCGTGTGTGTGTGTGTGAGTGCGCGCATGCGAGAGAGAGAGAGAGTGTGTGTGTGTGAGTGCGCGCATGCGAGAGAGAGAGAGAGTGTGTGTGTGTGAGTGCGCGCATGCGAGAGAGAGAGAGAGTGTGTGTGTGTGAGTGCGCGCATGCGAGAGAGAGAGAGAGTGTGTGTGTGTGAGTGCGCGCATGCGAGAGAGAGAGAGAGTGTGTGTGTGTGAGTGCGCGCATGCGAGAGAGAGAGAGAGTGTGTGTGTGTGAGTGCGCGCATGCGAGAGAGAGAGAGAGTGTGTGTGTGTGAGTGCGCGCATGCGAGAGAGAGAGAGAGTGTGTGTGTGTGAGTGCGCGCATGCGAGAGAGAGAGAGAGTGTGTGTGTGTGAGTGCGCGCATGCGAGAGAGAGAGAGAGTGTGTGTGTGTGAGTGCGCGCATGCGAGAGAGAGAGAGAGTGTGTGTGTGTGAGTGCGCGCATGCGAGAGAGAGAGAGAGTGTGTGTGTGTGAGTGCGCGCATGCGAGAGAGAGAGAGAGTGTGTGTGTGTGAGTGCGCGCATGCGAGAGAGAGAGAGAGTGTGTGTGTGTGAGTGCGCGCATGCGAGAGAGAGAGAGAGTGTGTGTGTGTGAGTGCGCGCATGCGAGAGAGAGAGAGAGTGTGTGTGTGTGAGTGCGCGCATGCGAGAGAGAGAGAGAGTGTGTGTGTGTGAGTGCGCGCATGCGAGAGAGAGAGAGAGTGTGTGTGTGTGAGTGCGCGCATGCGAGAGAGAGAGAGAGTGTGTGTGTGTGAGTGCGCGCATGCGAGAGAGAGAGAGAGTGTGTGTGTGTGAGTGCGCGCATGCGAGAGAGAGAGAGAGTGTGTGTGTGTGAGTGCGCGCATGCGAGAGAGAGAGAGAGTGTGTGTGTGTGAGTGCGCGCATGCGAGAGAGAGAGAGAGTGTGTGTGTGTGAGTGCGCGCATGCGAGAGAGAGAGAGAGTGTGAGTGTGTGTGTGTGTGTGTACCTGGTTTTTCTATTCTGGTGGGGACTTAAATGCACACAGACTCATGGGGACTCGTGTCACGGTGGGGACCTAAATTGAGGTCTCCACGGGTAAACAAGCTAATAAATCACACAGAATGAATTTTTTTTGAAAATCTAAAAATGCACAAAGTCTCCTGTGAGGGGTAGGTTTAGGGGTAGGGTTGGTGTAGGGCGATAGAATATACGGTCTGTACAGTATAAAAAGCATTACGCTTATGGAGAGTCCCCACAAGGATAGCAGACCAGACATGTGTGTGACGAGTTGTGGTAATTCCTAAGGAGAACACAGTTGCAGTTTCAGTGGAATGTGGCACAGGGAGAGGCTGATGAGGAGGAAGTGAAAGCTCAAGTGTTTGTAATGCCGTCAGTCTCGAGATTCTCATTGGCCCGGACCTAAATTGAGGTCTCCACGGGTAAAGAAGCTAATAAATCACACAGAATGAATTTTTTTTGAAAATCTAAAAATGCACAAAGTCTTCTGTGAGGGGTAGGGTTGGTGTAGGGCGATAGAATATACGGTCTGTACAGTATAAAAACCATTACGCTTATGGAGAGTCCCCACAAGGATAGCAAACCAGACATGTGTGTGACGAGTTGTGGTAATTCCTAAGGAGAACACAGTTGCAGTTTCAGTGGAATGTGGCACAGGGAGAGGCTGATGAGGAGGAAGTGAAAGCTCAAGTGTTTGTAATGCCGTCAGTCTCGAGGTTCTCATTGGCCCGTGTTGTTGTTGTTGTGTTCTCTCAGCTGTGGGTCGGGATGCCTGCGTGGTATGTAGCGGCGTGCCGTGCTAATGTGAAGAGCGGAGCCATCATGTCTGCCCTGTCTGACACCGAGATCCAGCGCGAGATCGGCATCAGCAACCCTCTTCACCGCCTCAAACTACGCCTCGCCATTCAGGAGATCATGTCTCTCACCAGCCCGTCAGCGCCACCTACCTCCAGAACGGTAGGAAACACACGATCCATTAAAGAACCCTCTAATATATCAGCGCTCGGTTCCTGGAGGTTTTGCTCTCAGATCAGTCTAATAGAAACTGAAGCAGAGTGTGTAGAGCTGCGTGATCAATCCACATCATGGCATCACTCAGCGATGATCGGATCCTAAAGGCTGTGATGTAGTGTTTCAGAGCGACTCGGTTCACCGTAAATCATGCATCTGCTCTGAGTCTGAGTCGCTTTCACATGCATTTGGGAACTCATCATGAGCCAACCATCTTCACAAACGTTTATCAACAAAAGAGAAGATTCAAAGGCTTCCAGCAGTTTTCCATCAAAACTAAAGTTTGATGAAAATTAAATTAAGACCGCAATAAATATTAGTATTATAATTTTACACTAGTAATTTTTTTTTTGTTGCTATTTTACAGTGAAATATTTCTTATTTTGTTTCTGTGCAGTAATTGGTGTAGTTTTATTTAGTAGTAGTAGTAGTAATAATAATTATTAATAGCATCATTATTACTATAATTTATAGCCATATTGATACATAACAACATTTTGGCCAAATTTGCAGCCCTATAAACAACCACAACAAACTTGGAATTTTTTTATCACGTTTTAAATCAAATTTTTTGCCAGATCATCTGAGGGTTATTTGATTCATTAGTTCAGGCGTCTCGTTGTGAAATCCTCAGGTTTCTGGCCTGAAACTGATATTGGTAAACTTTACCACGCTTCTGCTGCTCCGGTTGGTTTTTACCGTAGTACGTGTCTGTTCTCTCGCACGCCTCACACATTAACCCCTGATGGGATGTTTGTGATCGCTTTACTAATGTTCCCGCAGCTCAATAACAGACTCTTCTGCTCTCCTAATGTCTTCTTTCACTCCGTCTTTCCTCACTCACGGATTTCTGTAGTCTTCTGGAAATGTCTGGCTCACACACGAGGAGATGGAGAGTTTGGCCGCCACGCCGCTCACGGTCAGTCACTGTCAGCGTCACGCTAATGCTAATGCGTGTTTGTGCTTCGCTGCTCGCTGTAGTCGTTTTACTGTGTCACGTTATGTTCTTATTCCACTACTGACTCCCCTCTCGCTCCACATGCTAACCTGCTAACACCAGGAGGATGAGGAGGGCAGCTGGGCCCAGGTTTGAACCTCAGTCTTTCTCTTCTGATGTCTGGAGAGCAGACACCTCATGAACCTGTCAGGAACACATTCGGCTCACGTTTCACTTCATATCACCAGTGTTTAGTTTTGGGGAAAGGCATCCCATTAAGATGTTTGGCAGGAAACCCAATAGTTTTCTCAAGTCTGTTTGAGACTGTGACCTGGACGTGTCTGTCTTGATGGGTTCGTGAGGTCCACTGCAGTTCTTCATCATGTTAGGCAGCATCTGCTGGTCTTTATCTTTGAAGCCATTCGTTCAGACCCCTGTGTGTTTCTGATCACGCTGAGAACAGCAACAGGTTTCATCTTAAGAGCTAATGTGTTTGTGATCAGTGACTCCTCTTCTGTATGAACTCAGCGCTGAGGTGGTGGTGGTTTTCTCTTGTGTTTTTAGGTGAGTCGTGTTCTGACTGAATGTGTGTGTGTTCACACTCAGACTCTGGCGTATGGTGACATGAACCACGAGTGGATCGGTAACGACTGGCTGCCGAGCCTCGGTCTGCCTCAGTACCGCAGCTACTTCATGGAGTCGCTGGTGGACGCTCGTATGCTGGATCATCTGACCAAAAAAGACCTGCGCAGTCAGCTCAAAATGGTGGACAGCTTCCACAGGTCAGTCACCGTATGTGTGTCTTGACTAAACGGAGACACTGACCACAGGCTGGCTTCCAGTCAGAGTTATAAGCCATGAACCGGCCCGTTTAATTTGAAGGTGCCCTTAATGTACGTTAGGAGTGTTGAAATTAATGTGGACGATTCTGCATCGATGCAGTAATAGACCGTAATCGATTATAGCCTACTGACGGCATTCACATACGTGCTTGTCACGTGAGTATTAAAAAACATGCACCCACTATTTTTAAATTCGAGATCTGGGAACATTTTTGGAAAAACCAAGCTTATAGTAGCAGGTGTGTGCGCTGGAGAGAATCATAGCGGGCTTCATTGCACAGAAAGTCTCTAAAATACAATTAAACAACAGGTTATACAAAATGATCATTAAAAATAAAGTAATAAATTAATAATAATAATAATAAAAAGTTAATATAAAAAAGCAACTTATCAAGATAGATAAACAACATTAATGTTCACATTGTTGATTATGAAGAAGCCATTTCTTAAAATGATGCTTAAATGAGTTAAATGATCTCCATTCTCTAATTGATTGTGGTATGAATGCTCTGAGCTTGACCAAACGATGTGGAACGAGGCAGTGTCTCTGTGTCTGTCTCGCTCTGCAGGAACAGTTTTCAGTGTGGCGTGATGTGTTTGAGACGACTGAACTACGACAGGAAAGAGCTGGAGCGGAGGCGTGAGTCCCAGGTGGAGGTCAAAGGTGAGCGTGCTGGTCTGCGTCTCTGTGCTGTGTGTGTGTGTGAGTGTGTGCTGACGCTGCTGCCGCTGCAGATGTGCTGGTGTGGACGAACGAGCGCGTGCTCAGCTGGGTCCAGGCCATCGGGCTGAAGGAGTATGCTGGGAATCTTCTGGAGAGCGGCGTTCACGGATCGCTCCTCGCTTTAGACGAGTCCTTCGACCACAACGCCTTTGCGCTGCTGCTGCAGATCCCTACACAGTGCACTCAGGTGAGACTCTAACGGTCAGACCTGCGCTTCATCTGATCTCAGACCAGCGACTGCGGGGCCATAGGATTCAGAACGTTTCATCTGGTTTGGAAATCCAGAATTAGCTAATTCATGTTACATTTGTTTTCAAACCTGCTCCAGATACACACTAGACTCCAGATGACCAAATCCACATCGTCACTACTCTGAATAGGGCTGCAGTCACAGTGTGGGTTACTAGCTGTGTGAAGAACAACAGGCAGAACAGTCAGCAATGGCTCACTTTAGTCATTTTTATTTGAAGAGACCGAAAACAGCACAATAAAACAATACAAACATTTCCTTCCATTTTCAGTTTATTTTAAACATTCAGACCCTCATCTGACCCACAACAGATCAATAAACATAAGTGTCCCTGCAGCACAGAAGCAGTGTTGAGTCGCTGGGGGATATTTGTAGCAATAGCCAACAATACATTGTATGGGTCACAATTATACATTTCTCTTTTATGCCAGAAATCATTAGGATATTAAGTAAAGATCATGTTCCATGAAGATATTTAGTAAATCTCCTACCGTAAATATATCAAAACTTAATGTTTGATTAGTAATATGCATTGCTAAGAACTTCATTTGAACAACTTTAAAGATGATTTTCTCAATATTTAGGTTTTTTTGCACCCTCAGATTCCAGATTTTCAAATATTTTCCGATCCTAACAAACCATACATCAATGGAAAGATTATTTATTCAGATTCCAGAGATGCATACATCTCAATTTCAAAAAAATTTATTAAATCCAGTATAGGATTATTTTTCTATACTGTACTGGAAGGCTTCTTTGATAACTATTATTTTAACGGTGTAATTTTAAACACACAAGTGTTATCAATTATTTGATCAGTTTTAAATGCAGCCTACGTTGTAATATTGTTTATGTATATCGGATTTATCTCATATATATATAATGCGTTTGGTTAAGTTAATAGAGTGCTTCAGTTTACCGGTGATAGGAGGGTAAAATTATTTTTAAACATGCACTGTTCAAACTAGGCTGATTATGTTGAAGTGTTTGGGGCGTGGCTTTTAATGATGAGACCTTTTTGTAATCAGGCTTTTAAAAAATTTTATAAAAAATTGGATATAGATTTATTGGCCAACATATCGGTTATCAGCTTTCAAATATAAAGTATTATCGGTTATCGGTGTCAGTCAAAATGTTGATATGGGTGCATCCGTAGTTCTGTTGTGCAGAGCTGTGGTCATATGTGTGCTGTGTGTGCAGGCGAGAGCGGTGCTGGAGCACGAGTACTGCCGTCTGTTAGCCGCAGGAACCGAGAGGACACTCGAGGAGGTGAGTTCAGTCCGCTCCTTCAGTCCTCAGTCGTATGGCATCCGAGCGCTTCACAGCACAGCCGTGTCTCCGCAGGATGACGACAAGAACTTCCGCCGCACACCGTCCTGGAGGAAGAAGTTCCGGCCCAAAGACGTGCGCTCCGCCGACACACTGCCAGCCAGCTTCAGAGTGAGCACTGCAGACGCACTCACCAAGAAACCACAGCTGGACGGTACGAGTGTGTGTGTGTGTGTGTGTCACTAACGTGTGTGTTGTGGTGCTGCAGGAGGTGTGTGTGTGTGTGTGTGTCACTAACGTGTGTGTTGTGGTGCTGCAGTGGGTGTGTGTGTGTGTGTGTGTGTGTGTGTGTCACTAATGTGTGTGCTGTGGTGCTGCAGGAGGTGTGAGTGTGTGTGTGTGTGTGTGTGTGTGTGTCACTAATGTGTGTGCTGTGGTGCTGCAGGAGGTGTGAGTGAGTGTGTGTGTGTGTGTGTGTGTGTGTGTGTGTCACTAGTGTGTGTGCTGTGGTGCTGCGGGGGGTGTGTGTGTGTCACTAATGTGTGTGTGTTGTGGTGCTGCAGGAGGTGTGTGTGTGTGTCACTAATGTGTGTGTTGTGGTGCTGCAGGAGGTGTGTGTGTGTGTGTGTGTGTGTGTGTGTCTCTAATGTGTGTGCTGTGGTGCTGCTGGAGGTGTGAGTGTGTGTGTGTGTGTGTGTGTGTGTGTCTCTAATGTGTGTGCTGTGGTGCTGCTGGAGGTGTGAGTGTGTGTGTGTGTGTGTGTGTGTGTGTCTCTAATGTGTGTGCTGTGGTGCTGCTGGAGGTGTGAGTGTGTGTGTGTGTGTGTGTGTGTGTGTCTCTAATGTGTGTGCTGTGGTGCTGCTGGAGGTGTGAGTGTGTGTGTGTGTGTGTGTGTGTGTGTCTCTAATGTGTGTGCTGTGGTGCTGCTGGAGGTGTGAGTGTGTGTGTGTGTGTGTGTGTGTGTGTCTCTAATGTGTGTGCTGTGGTGCTGCTGGAGGTGTGAGTGTGTGTGTGTGTGTGTGTGTGTGTGTCTCTAATGTGTGTGCTGTGGTGCTGCTGGAGGTGTGAGTGTGTGTGTGTGTGTGTGTGTGTGTGTCTCTAATGTGTGTGCTGTGGTGCTGCTGGAGGTGTGAGTGTGTGTGTGTGTGTGTGTGTGTGTGTCTCTAATGTGTGTGCTGTGGTGCTGCTGGAGGTGTGAGTGTGTGTGTGTGTGTGTGTGTGTGTGTCTCTAATGTGTGTGCTGTGGTGCTGCTGGAGGTGTGAGTGTGTGTGTGTGTGTGTGTGTGTGTGTCTCTAATGTGTGTGCTGTGGTGCTGCTGGAGGTGTGAGTGTGTGTGTGTGTGTGTGTGTGTGTGTCTCTAATGTGTGTGCTGTGGTGCTGCTGGAGGTGTGAGTGTGTGTGTGTGTGTGTGTGTGTGTGTCTCTAATGTGTGTGCTGTGGTGCTGCTGGAGGTGTGAGTGTGTGTGTGTGTGTGTGTGTGTGTGTCTCTAATGTGTGTGCTGTGGTGCTGCTGGAGGTGTGAGTGTGTGTGTGTGTGTGTGTGTGTGTGTCTCTAATGTGTGTGCTGTGGTGCTGCTGGAGGTGTGAGTGTGTGTGTGTGTGTGTGTGTGTGTGTCTCTAATGTGTGTGCTGTGGTGCTGCAGGAGGTGTGTGTGTGTGTCACTAATGTGTGTGTTGTGGCGCTGCAGGAGGTGTGAGTGTACAGCGTCTGGACTCTGCTGCGGTCAGAACTTACTCCTGCTGATGGGTGTCAGGTGAGTCTTCATGTCTCACACGAGCCTCTTCATGATGCCTTACTGTCAATCAAGCATTTTATTGGATGAAAATGTGTGTACATCACTGAACAAATTATACAAATGTCATATTATTGGGCCAATTTAAAATGTATATCATGTTTTGTTTCTGAATTTTTGACTGATGATCAGAGATTGTTCAGAAGCAGTCCCACATCTGGCTCGTAGTTTACCCCGAATCAAAAGAAGTGTAAAGCCAGCATGGATAGTGTCCTCCATCGGTAGACAAGGCTCTCGGCTTGCTTTGTGAACGGCCTGTCCTTGACTCGAGCACATGCTCTCATGAACACGGCTGTCTGTTTGTTCCTTCACCTGTGCTTTCTGAACCGCTCTCAGAATCATAACTCTTACCTGTTATAGTCAAAGTCTCCAGTTCTTCATGCTTCTGCTGTGGGATTAACAAAGAACTTCTTAACTGATATATTCTTATTCTCTAACTGTAGAATAAAGTTACAAATATCTCTTTTCGTATTAGATTATTCTAAAGACAAAATTCTTTGATTCTTGAATTCCTGAAAAGATTGTAAAGATCATTTTAATATCGAGTAGTACAACATTACTCCAGCCATCTATCATGTATTTCTGTTACTGTGGAAGTCATTTAGAGCACACTTGAGACTTTATTTCTTAACTTCTTTGCTGAGGATGTTCTGTTGAATCTGCTCGTGTCTGCTTCTCATTCTGGTGTGTTTTCTCTCCGGTGCAGCGGAGGAGGACGAGGCCCTTCACAGACCCGGCGTCCCATCAGAACTCTGTCAGACCTCAGATCTGACGCCTCTATTCATGTAAAGCAAGCGACGTTCACTAAGTTAGCAGTGTCTCGTATCGACTGTTGCTTGATTTGATTTGGTCATCTTTTCATTTTAATCTTTTAACTCTTTTAGCTGTAATTTATGTATCACAAGTCCAAAGTTTGTACATTTCTGTCTGTAGACGTAATCTCATTCTTATTTTATCCTCTAGATACGTATTCCTTGTGTTTAATTTATCCAGCTAAAAGTATTTTGTGTGGTTTATCTTAACGTTGCTCTTCTCTTCACTGATTTTCCTCTGTTGATTGTGAGAAAGTGGCCCGAATCAATGGCGTTGCGTGAATATCTGGGTTGGTACGAGTTTTATATCCTCTGATACCAAATCAAACCCTTGGATAAGCCATAATTTGTAATAATTATGAGGGCTATTTTGAATACATCTTTCTACAGATGTGAGCTTGATGCCAGGTTTTTCTAGCATCTGTTTGGCTTAAAGTCACTGTTTATCCATTCCCTGGTGCTGCGTTACATCTGTGTGTGTGTGTGTGTGTATCTGTGTATGTGTGTGATTGCGTGTGTGTGTGTATCTGTGTGATTGCGTGTCAGTGTGAGTGTGTGTGTGTGAGTGAGTGAGTGTGTGTGTCCTCTCAGATGGACCAATCCTCCGATGGCCTGCCCGCTCGATCCCTGTGTGTGTGTGTGTGTGTGTGTTGTAACTGTAATGAAGCCTTATATTTCTAACCCAGTCCTGTTGTTTTCAATGACCTTTTTGATATCGTATGTTATCAGCTTTTATGTAGGAACTGAATTGTTTTTTGGATGCTATCAGAAGCGTAGGCTGGAATCATATCCCAGTCTCTCTTTTTTTTGTTTTTGTAATTTTACATTCTCTAGTCACTCATGTACACTTAAAGTCATGTTACTATCTTTTTATTGTCCTTTATTTAAATAAATCTTCTGGTCCTGTAATAGAAATAATGTACAGTCTACGTACTTATGAACAGTTTTTATCACAGTATTATTTATTGCTTTCATTTCAATAAAATACTGAAACTTATTTTCCACTGCCAATAAAAATAAGTCTTTATGAACTGATGATTTTCCTGTAGCTTTTGTTGTTTGCCATCCAGATTTAGTTTATAAATCTCAAATTCAAGTTACTTAGACATATGATTATGGTATTATTTTAATTGCATTTTTAAAATTTTATTTTAATTTTAAGACTATTTTAAACAATGTAACCAGAATGGCTTCAGTTCATCTTTTCTTTTCTTCAGCCTGTCACAAACTCACTGTTTATTATTAATACGAAGTATATATAACAAAACCATTTAGAGTGAAAGCTGATTTGACAGAAAGATGTCTTCCAGGAGGCTGATTGACTGCAGCTGGGTTCTTGATAATGAGCGGGTGATTGCAGTGACTGCAGAGCGTCTGCAGGATGGGTCATGTGCTCAGCTCAGCAGTGATGGACTCTCAGCAGGTGAATATTCCCATCAGCCTGTTTGTGTTCAGAAATCAGCACAGTCTCATTCTCCTCAAACCTTCACATTCACTCAGTGGAGCTGAAGCTAGTCACGTCGTCATAAATCTGTCTTTATTTACTTGCTGCAGTAGATGAAGCTACAGAGGAGATGAGGGTGACTGTGACCTTTGCAATATTGGCTAGAGTTTAGTGACCAGAGTTGCGGGTAACGTGAGTTACTTAATCAGATTTTTTTGTTTTTTTTTATTTACATGAAAATATCTGTTACTTTTTCAAATCAGTAACATAGTTACTTTGTTTCCGTGTGTTGAGTGACAGCTCTGGTGTTGCCATGGAGACAGAAATCAGGAGTCAGAGCAGAGCGTTGTGTGTGAACATGATCTTACTGTAGCTCTAGACTCAATATCAACATGTGTTTACTCATCTCACTGCACACAAACACATTCAGTGCTCCTCTAAACAGTCAAATGCAAACTTGGGATATGACGCAAACCTGCAATAATTAATGTAAACAAACAAACAAGCCCAGGCCAGATGAGTAAAAGTAACGCAACATTACTTTCTATAAAAAGTAGCCAAGTAATGCAATTTTAAAAATAGTCTACCTTAAGTTATTTTCATGTCACAATTCACCGTTTATTTTATTTTTTAAATTTATATATATGTATATATATGTGTGTGTATGTGAATATGTATGTATACATAAAATGGCAAAAATAAAATATTAACCTACATTTTGCTTACAATAAAAAAAAAACTGCGGTGTGTGTAATCAGTGCCAGTTTGTTCAGTCTTTGAGTTCAGTACTTAATGACTGTTTCACAATTATCTATCACAAAATTTTAGCGTTAGAATCCGTTCCCTGACGTCAGATTTAGAAAAATCTGCAAAATCTTTGGAACCAATTAAATAAGAAACAAATGTCAATATCACCTTCAATCCAAAATATTGCCAAACAGGTGCTTTTGCATTTCGTTTGGAGACTAAATCATCCGGTATGTGTCTTGTCTCGTTGCTCAGCTCGACTCTCCTCACGTGATGATAAATGGTGCGCTGCATTGAGCAGCCTCGTCCGGTTTGTAGTTGTAGTGTCTGTTCCCTAACTGGACTGAATGATATTTATTACTATAAAAAATCTAAACGACGGTGGTGGGCAAGAGACGTAACTGGTGTAGCGGCTTCACACCGTCAGCACCGACTGTCTACAGTTTCGTGATGAACTCTTCTCTGTGGGTTCAGGGCAGCGGTATGGTCTAGTTTTCAGGAGTAGGCCACAGAGAGTCACAGACATCGAGTTTGATCCGCTGAACTCTGCAGGATCCTGGAGCTCAAGGGCCAGAGCTGAGAACCTCTGGTTTAGAGTCAGGATAACTCGGTTAATTGGAGAATAAACCACACCATCATGTGGGAAATTATCAATGTGAATGTGTTCAATGTTCGCAACTATTCCACATCTGCATTTCGCAGATGATGTGTGTGCTTTGATCATGAGCTGCTCCAAGCCTTCTCCAGACTCTTTTCTTCCCGTCGTTCTGGTACAGCTTGATCTTAGCTTCAGCGTCCAACGAATGCTTTTCCAGAAGTGCTCTGGCTTTTTTAGATGTTTTTGTCAAGGTCTAATCTGGGCTTGTTTGCAGCTTGTGGTGAAGTCTTCTCTTGATTGTAGACCCGTCTGCCTCCTGGAGAGTGTTCTTCTCTGGGCTGGATGTTGTGAAAGGGTTTTTCTTTACCTTTCTCCGATCATCCAGCGCTGTTGTCCTCCGAGAGTATCCAGGTCTTTTTATGTTTCTGAGCTCACCAGTGCGTGCTTATTTTCCTCCGAATGAACTAAACTGTTGATTTGGCCGCTCCTGATGTTCCTGCGATCTCTCTGATGGATCTGTTTTGTTTCTGAAGCCTAACACTTGTCTGTTTCACTTGTATGGAGCGATCTTTGACCGAATGATGTGCTTCACAGCAACAGCTTCCAAATGCAGATGACACACTTAGAAGCAACTCCAGAACTTGTACCTGCTTAACTGATGTAGAAATAACGAAGGAACAGCCCACATCTGTCCATGAAACGGCTTTTGAGTCAATTGTCCAATTACTTACGGTCCCTTGAAAAAGGGGGAGGAACATATTAAAGAGCTGTAATTCCTTAACCTTTCCTCCAGTTGTGATGAGAATACCCTCAAATTAAAGATCAGAGTGTGCACTTTAAGCCCAGATTCATTATATAACTGTAACTTGAATATGGTTTGGTCAACGGCTAAAATAATACAAATTGTGCCCGTGTCCAAATATGTATGGACCTAACTGTATATGTAATATATATTTATATATGTTAATGATTTGATGTTTATTGTGAAGTGTTTCTGCTGTAATGTACAGAAATGGTTGTTTCATAATCATGTACAGTGCTTTGTGAAAGTATTCTATTCTCTATTTTTTTCACTTTTTGTTATGTTGTAGCCTTAAGTTAAACTGCTTTAAATTACCTTTTTTTCCACATCAATCTACACTATATACACCATAAGGAGAAAGCAAATAAGAGGTTTTTAACATCTTTGCAAATTTATTAAAGATACTTTGTTTCCATTGCATAAATATTCATGTCTTTATCTGGGAACGTTTAAATTTAGCTCAGGAGCATTCATTTTCCTTGTAGATGTTACCACACTTTGAGTGAAGTTAACCTGTGGCGAATGCAATAGAATGGCCATGATTTGGAAAGGCACACATCTTAATAAAATGTCTAACAGCTGAAAATGCATATTAGAGCAAAGACCAAGCCCTGAGGTCAAAAGAACTGCCTGTAGAGCTCAGAGACAGGTTTGCATCAAGCCACACATCTGGGGAAGACTTCAGGAAAACATTATTCTGCACTGAAGGGTCACAGAAGCATGTAGTCTCCATTATCCATAATGAAAGACGTTTGGAACAACCAGGACTCTTCCTAGAGCTGGCCTCCTGGCCAAACTGAGCAACTGATGGAGAAGAGCTTTGGTTAGACTGGTGAACAAGAACCTGATGGTCACTCTAGTTGAGCTCCATGATCATATGTGGAGACAGGAGACCCCTACAGAAGGACAAACATCACTGCAACACTCCACTGATCTGTGCTTTATGCTGGTGTGGTCCGATGCGATCTTGTCCTCAGTGAAGACCCATGAAAACACACTTGAAATGAGCAAAAAACACCTAACGGACCCCCAGACTGAGAAACAAGAGTCTCTGGTCTGATGAACCTGATGTTTGAAGTAAAGCAGGTCTGCTCATCACCTGCAGAGTACCATCCCAAAAGTAAAGTGTGCTGGAGCCTCATGCTGTGGAGCTGTTTATCAGCGGCAGGGACGAGGGACTCATCAGAGAAGAAGAAACGCTCAGTGCAGCAAAATATAGAGATAGCCTTGATGAAAACCCAGTCCAGAGCATTCAGAAGCTCAGACTGAGCAGAAGGTTCACCTTCCAACAGGACAGTGACCCTAAGCACACAGCAAGAGTGGCTTATAGACAACTCTGTGAATGTCCTTGAGTAACCCAGCCACAGCCTGAGCTTGAACCCAATCAAATATTTCTGGAGAAACCTGAAAATGTGCATCTGCCCTCATCCAGCCTGACAGAGCTCGAGAGATG